ACACCGAGCACCGGGAGTTCAGCGTTGTGGTGATGCCCGCCTTGGCTATGGAGATGGTCTGCTGCTCCATCGCCTCATGTATGGCCACTCTGTCGTCTTCGCGCATTTTGTCGAACTCGTCGATACACACGACGCCCCCGTCGGCCAACACCATAGCGCCGCCTTCCATCACGAAATTGCGCTGCGAGTGGACCACGGATTAGATCATCAGATCATACCTCTCAAGACATGTGACACCATTGAGTGGACACAACTGCTTACCGAAGCGGGATCTCTGACTACGGAAGCCGTGAGACCGGCCGCCGACGAGCCTTTGCCCGACGTATAGACACCAATAGGCGCCACCTTTTCCACGAACTTCAACAGCTGCGACTTAGCTGTTCCCGGATCGCCCAGCAGTAGCACATTGATGTCGCCCCTGCGGTTGAGTCCGTCGGGCAGTCGTTTGCGGGAACCGCTGAACAGCAGGCATGCGATGGCTTTCTTCATGTCTGTGGCGCCGAAAATGGACGGCGCTATCGATCGGGCGATGCGGTCGTAGATGTTGGGCGTGGCGGCCAAGTGGCGGAACAGTTGCTCCTCGTCGGGGGTGTAGGGCACGGACGCCGCCCTTCCGGGGCCCTCGCTGTTCACCTCAATGCCCACCACTCGCATATAGGGCGCCCGTATGCCGATCGTCGCTCTCGACTCGTTCACCCCTTTCGCCGGTTTGGACACCTTTTTGATGGAATACACGCCCACTATAGTGACCCGATTGCCGGGCACCACCTTATCGCACAGGTAGCGGTCGCAGTAGAGCTGCAGGTGCCGCGGCATCTCCCCGTGCGGTACCGACTCGGGCACCTCCTGAAGCTTCAGGAGCTGATAGTCGACGCACTCGCAGCGGTCGGGTATTATGAAGTATGGGTCGATCGGGCACTTGACCGCCCGTCCCGTCTGATCGCTGTTACACTTACGCGGTAATAGGTAGCCCTCGAGGCCGGCGCTGATGTTCACGTCGTTGACAATCTCGCGACAGCCGCGACACTGGAGAGACATTTTGATGGCCTTCGCCCTGACATTGGAGGCGCCGATCACAATGCCGGGCACTTTCACGAGTCGCGAGATCTGGTCCGACTTCAGCTCCCGGAGCGCTATGGGGTGGGCGTCGCTCGCGAGCATCACTTGCATGGATTGGACGGCCGTGTCGTCGGCGCGCGGACGGGTCACCTCATCGGCCACTTCGGTGGCCGCGAGCTCCAGGATCTTCAGGTACTCGACCGGCTGTTTGCAGAGCTTGTCGGCCAGCGAGTCGTCAAAGAGGGCCAACTCGTCGACGGATACGTCGCACCAGAACTGATCCAAGTTATAGCGGTCGCGGATCTGTTGCCGGTATTTGTATTGGAAGGTCGAGTC